CATATTTCTTTGTATATACGTACAATTTATATTTGTACATTTTCTGTAAACTTTGAGAACAGACGCCTATTTTTGAACCGCAGCATGCTATTACAATTGTCATTGAAAACACTGGGTTTATCTATCACTTTTCGTGGTACTGCCAGTCTGCCACTCACAACCCTTAGAGTGTAAGTACTGAAAAATGACTTTTAATTATGACTGTAAATCTGTAATGTATATGTGTGTATAATATTACATGTACAGTACAGTTAACAATTTTGAAAAATTTGGTTTTCATATTGTTTGGATTGTCTAGATTCTCTGATATATGAAGACAGTATCAAAAACAATGGCAGATATCGGACCCAGTGAGAAAGATTAATTAGTATTTTATAGTATTTTATCTTGCTATACACACACATACATGTACTGAACAGTAGACTACATAACTACTTACCAATTATTACATCATTTGCTTTCAACTCCAGAATGGGTTTTTTGTGGTAGAATACATGTCTCCTCTTTGTGGAACAAATGCTCAATCCCTTTCAAATTGGACAAGAGCACCTCTTCCTGTGAAGTTCCACATTGTTGGGCCAACAACTTTATACAACCTGTGGTGTCTGTGTTTTCCTCTATATGTATATTGATGTTATCCATTAAAAGTATAACAGGAACATCAGCAGGAAACTTCTCCTTTATAATACTTGTGAAGTTGTTTAGTCGTTGATCTAAAAATTTCATGCTGTACACAGATAAAAATGTGGTTAATCACCACATGAATGTGTATACTATGTTTCATACATTTCATAGTCTTGAATTAACTAAATTAATCACACAATCTGTTTAACATTCACTAACAAAAGCTAATTTTTTTATACACACCCTGTATTTACGGCTACTGCAAATATATGACACTTAAACGTTGACCTTAGTTCTTAACCCATTAAGTGGCAAACTCTCCCCCCCCCCCTGACAAGTAAAATAATCTGGTGTAATATAGAGTAATCTAATAAAATATATACATTAAAAAATATAATTACGGTACTTACATTGTATTCCAATGAAGTGATAGTCCAATTGCATTTAACATGTTGACAAATTGCTTCCCTGCTCCATAACTAATGCATAATAGTCCAAATAATAATAAAAAGTCAGTAGAATCTTTTGATGACCGTATGTGCAGCAAGGAAGCTAATGCATGGGATGCACACTTGAACTTTAATTCATTAGTCTTTCTCACATTCTTTTCCGAATTGGCTGTGGTACAAATAGTCTCCAATATACTGTCAATTAATGGGCATTTTTCTTTATTAACTTGTGTGCAAAATGCATTAAATAGATCAGGGGTAATAAGATCATGGCGTACACCAATGTCACTTTTTCTTAGATCTTTAAATTTGTTAAGTGATCTAAGATGACGAACCTCTTCATTCAGCAACTTCTTCTGTTCTGAACTTAATATATCTTATTTTTTATCAGTGAAAATGAAGCAATCTGATTGGCTGAGGAGCCTTCCAGAGCGGGCCGGTTTTTTGCATCCGGCCCGCTGTGAAATGCAACTGCCCGCTCTGGTTTTCGCGGCAAAAACTGAGGAGTGAAACAATTTTTAAACGAAAAAATCTGCCGAAAACGTTTGAAAAACATAGCCTAACGATAGTCAGAATACGAATGAATTGCATCAAGCCCTAAAGGCTTCATACTAAGCACGATGTTCACGAGAATTGACAATATTTTGATAGAATTGCGACTGGAAGTCGGAAAGTATTTGACATGTATAATAAAACTTACGTCGAGAAAACTATATATTTTTTAAATGCTCATGTATTCGGCCACTTAAAAGCGAAAAAATTACAGCTTAAACAGATATTGTAAAATAAATGTTTTCCCATTTATAAAAGAAGGTTTAACTGCAGCAGTGAAAACCGAGGTGAAAACAAGTCACGAATATATTCTCTACCCATTTGTTTTTGTGTCATATATTTTTCACTGATATAAACAAAGTAAAAGTTTGTGTTTAAAAACACTTTTTTCAAGCATATTATCGTGAAACGACAAGAAAAAATACAAAAATATAAAAATAACATACCTTTTTCATTGTCCTTTTAGTAGAAAAACGTTAATAAATCAAAACAGATTCATTTTTATATGTTTTTGATCGGATCTGAACATGAACCTGTCGTTGTCAGGAGCAACTTGTCAAAGCCAAAGCCAAAACGCCAGGCATAAAAGTTTTTATTCCAAAGCTTTTCTGCTACCATATTCATGAAAAAAGCATGTACATTTTTACTGAAACTATACGTCTTTTTGTGTGTTTCTTGCCAGTTTTCTCGAGTTTTCGTATTCGTGTTTTATATTTTTTAACTTTTCAATTTTTGTCAGCCTCGCTTTGAAAATACACAACTGCACTGATCTCAAATTAGTTCGCAAGCAACACTGGAATTTTAATCAATTTAATTTTTACATCTGAATAGATCTGATAAAAAATAAACACGTTATTTACCGGCAGCGTCGGTCCGGATGAGAAAAACTGTGCCCTCGGTCTTGAAAACGTCCCTCGCCCTTCGGGCTCGGGCCGTTTTCAAGACCTCGGGCACAGTTTTTCTCATCCAGACCTCGCAGCCGGTAAATAACATATATATCTTTCTGTCTGTTAATTCTCTGGATCTCTTCTTCATACAAATTGACCAGACCATGTACATATTTGTCATGTTCAAACGACTCTCTTGCATATTGTTCAGCAAGGGTGATCATATCTGGACTTTCCTGAAGTTTATCTGACAGTTGAACCCATATTTGCTCCATTACTTCCTTGGATGCATTTATTTTCATTTTTATCGAGTTGATTTCAGCTACAATAAATTGGGAAAAAATGTGACATTAGAAAGTGTCAGCAGAGGCAATGTTTAC